TACTCTATTTCGCTTCTTTATCTTCTTAAACACAAGAACAATTATTTGAAATATGCCAACAACAAAAGTACTTATAGTTAAACAGGTGACCTGCAGTCCTTGCTATTATTATTATTAGTATTAGTATTATTAGTATGTTGGCCTTCGTTGTCCATCTGAGTAGGCAATGTCGTTGATGATTCCGTTTCATTGTTCTTACCCCACAAGAACACGTAGAGACCCATTACTGCCACCACTGCTCCAATTACACTATAATAACAATCCGTCAAAAGTTGTAGTTAGTTTTGTTATGAGCATGACCTACGTTGGGATATAAATATATAAATATATATATAATTACAAAAACAAATGCAATTACCTGCCAAGGTATAGAGGAGTGTGTAAGATAAGGAAATCGAATAGAGTAGCTGAGATAAGAGTAATCGGAGTAAATGTTGATGCGAAAACAGCTCCTAGTTTCTTTATCGACCATGATGTTGCTACCGTCGACATTGCTTGTCCTACCACTCCCTGTAATTAATAAGTGTACATAATAAGATAAGAGTCGTGTCTACTTTATATAAGTTTTTAGACTTTCCTCTCTCAAACATTTTGACAAATAATATGTTTTTGAAAACAAAGAGTATTATGGTAAGACAATGACAGTCCCCCAATACGATTACAGAAAAATCGAATGGCATCAACTTAGTGGTGGTTGGTTAGATTTAGTGGTAGTTTCTCACATATTCTCTATATATTAAAAAATTGAGATGGGTAAGAAAAAAGAGAAACCTATCAGCTTTGTATTAATGTGTTACTCTTCTAATGGCTTAGATTTAATTTTATTCTTTAAATGGAAATAAAACTTATTGTTAGATACTCACATGGATCTCTACTCACTAATGATGTTATATATGTCTATCGTAACGCAACCTCTACAAGCTTTTGCATAGCTACCTTATATACTAATTTTTTTTTTTTTTAAATGTAGGAAAATACTTACAGCGTATATGATAACAGTAATCACGAATTTGTCACTGATGACCCAATCGTGAGCGTCTCTGCCCTTGTAAAGACTCAAGAGAGCACATTGAAACGCTGCGAAAACCGACATGAGACAGGTGCTCGAGTATTTGCAAGGGTACTTAATGTTTAAAGTCCCTTGAAACAGCATCCATATAGACAACAGTGTGGTTCCAATGGTTAAGTAAAGACATCCAAGAAGCCAGTTCTTGGCTTTGTCTTGATCGTTGTCGTTGTGGTGAAGTGCCGCCCCTCGGTTAGAGTGAGGGTTTGATATTTGAGGGCCTTTGTAGAATGTCAAGAACAAAGCTCCACCTATGCAAATTAGAGTTCCCATCACCTTCAACATTCCTGCTTTGGTCTTTAGATTCTTTACATTTTCAGTCCTAAAAAAAGTTTGTTACGTAAGTTTATATGATAAATGGAAAAAAGTTATCAAGGATACGAGTCATATGTCAGAATAAATTGTTTTTGGCTTTACAAGAAAAAACGAACTTAATTAGACCTACGTGTAACTGCTAAACTCGAATGGTAGATAATATATATATGTTCCTTTTGATTCAATGAATCGTGTTTTTATTGTTTCCGCATCCTGTTATCAAAGTTGATTAAAATTGAGACGTTTAACTAAAAAAGACCTTTACCAGGAAAAGCTATAAAAACGGGCTAAGCTGGATGTAGTTACGTATACTTAAGGTAACTGAATGTAAATCTAATCATAGTGCACGACAATCAAATTTCAGAAGTTATTTCATTATCACTAGCACTTTATTAGTACTACAATTAACTAAAAGAATATTTCATGACTAAAAATATATAAATATTTTAACATAGAGTATAGTAAGTATATTACGTCAATATTATATAGTACGTAATACTAGATAACAAAGAAGATAGATGGTTCCATCAGTACCTGAAAATAAGGGCCAAAGTGAAGGTGATTGCAGGCAACATGCTTACCAAAGCACACGAAACAGTTGCTGACGTGTACGACAGACCAAGCAAAAAGAAAAATTGCATCAGACTTGCCCTGCCAAATTTACACCCAAAATGAATTAAATTAATAATAGTTGGAGCTTACGCTTTTAAAAAACTTACTTGAAAGGAAAACATTCTCAACAGAAAACAAAACTTAAATAGTATGATGATAACATATATAGGAATAAATTAAAAATGGACGACGAAGATTTGGGAGGACAAACCCGAGCAGACCGCTGAAGAAATGATCGACCAATAACCTAAATGTTAGCTTCGGTCTTGTTTTCCTGTTGCCAAATAATACATAACTTTTAGAAGAACTTCTTTAAAATGGTGGCTTCTGTACTTGCATGCTAAAAGAGAATTCCCCAAGAAAATATTTTTTTCATGGTATATGTAAAAACTATAACTAAAATATGAAAATGTCTTTCGATATCATAACTTCTATTTTTAATGAGATATCTGGGGAAAAAAGGAATAGCACATATAGATAACTCGTTGTTTCTTCTGAGTATTAAGTATCTAACCTTTCCAAGATATAAGCGAAGGGAGCTAATATTATAGCAGAAATAGCCATTCGATAAGCACCAACGACCATATGGTTTACACCAACATCAAGAGCTTTCTTCACAAGTGCATTCACTGAACCCATCGCTACGTTAGATATCACCATTGCTATAACCGGAGACCATTCCTCGATCACTCTCACTCCTTGCATCTCTTCACCCATCTCTCTCTCTCTCTCGATATATATTTTTATATTTGTGAGTTTGTGTGTATGTGTGTTATTTGTTAGAGAGAGATAAGACCCAATGTGCTTTGAGTTTGGCAAACCACACACCTTCCCCTATATATAGGGAAATGTTTATGCGTTTCTTTACACAATTGGACTTATTTTGTCGTTAACCTGACAAAATATAGTATATTAATTAATCTCCTTAACATATGTAAACACAGGTTTAAAAAACATATCTAAACCCTATAAATCATTAATTTGTTTAATGAAAAATTAATAAAGCATGCATATATAGCAATGTTCATCAACTTTCGACCACAAAGGCACAAAACATTAATTTCCTATGCATATTTGTGTTATTCGTTATTCGTATTCTACGCGGAGTTAACGTTTTCTTTTTTTTGGAGTTAAACGTTTTAATTATTTCGAGTAAGATATTATTAAAATAATCATATATTGATATAGTTTTGCAAGATTCTAATAAGGGAGTTACATAGATACGCTACCAAGCCGACGTATTTGATTTTCAATAAAGCTAATAAAAATATGTATATTCGTTAATCTGGCGAGACATTTATTCCCACAGGCCACAGCTAGAGCTAAATTGCAGTATAAGATTCGGATTCGTTTCTACTTTCACTATGTACGTTATATGAGACAGGTGTGTACATTAGTTCGTCACATTTTGTTCGTGTCACCCACTGCACATTTTGTTTACAATTAACTTCCCGCGTACATTAAAAAATTAAAATTTATGAAAAATACATAGGTCAGTTTTGACTTGAATTTAAGTTATGTACAAAATTATGGAATAAAAATTGTACATTCTCTCAGATATATATAAGGTAAGAGTATGTTATATAATTTCGTTTCAAAATGTTATTTTTTCTTTTAAAAATAATAATTTCGTATAAAAGAAAAACAGTTAAAAAAAAAAGGTTTCAAATATCATTTAATTATGTGACATCCAAATTGGTTTAAATATTTTTTGGTTAAGAAAAAAACTAATAAATTAAAAAAAAAAATATATATATATATATACGTGAATATTTATAGTTTTATCATTTTCAATCACATTAAATTTATAGAGGTTTTGTGGCAGCAAATTTCACTCAGACATATTATATTATTATATATCAGTTTGGAAAAGCCAAATTACGTACATTGAAATGATCGTGGTTTATCTAAAAAGTGTTAATTTATCGATTTTCTTAGTAAACATTCAAAAAAATATATATATATATATGAAAGTGATTATTTATATAAGTTATTTAGTTTGAGTATATAAGTAGTGTAAGGCATAAGTTATTTAGTTTTATAAGTAATACTCCATTCGTTTCAAAATATTTGTCATTCTAAACTTAATTTTTTATCATAAATTAACTTTATATAATATTATATTTTTGTATTGGTTGAGAAATGGTTAGGTGTATAGATAATTGTGTTTTTATCTTGTAAATAAATAAAATTAAATGTTTTCTTAATCTGTGTGATAAAACCTATAATGACAACTAAAATGAAAGGGAGAGACTACAAAGCATAAACTGATTTTTTTTCTCAAATATTATGTATAAGATAAAATATAAATAACACTGTTACAGCTATAGTGTATATTTTACAATTAGAAACCTACAAATTATAACGAATTTGAATGTTAAGAGAGGTTAAATTAAAGTATGTCATATCTGGATGTTGATCATGGACTTGTAGTCACTGGCCCATAGACCTTTTACCTTTCTTCTAGCTCTCTTACCTATTTTGTGTTTCAATTTGGTTTGATGTCCAACATCATTCGTGTTATTGCTAATAGGAGAATGAATATTTTCACCATTTTCAAATATAAAGCGCACTTCGTTCAAAAGTTTCAATATCTTTCAAACATATAGTCAGTTGAATAAATTAAAGTGGTTTCATTTATGGCATGCCTCCTTTTTCTGTTACAGTGAGTCATGTTCTGATATCTAGTTAAGAATTACTATAAAATAGCTGATCATTGATTTATCGATTTCTTAAAAAACGGACGAATTTGATCATATTATGAAATAAATTCGTGTACGCCTATAATTGTGATGTACATGAGCATTAATATATTCGTTTCATATATATATACTGTTTTACAGCCCTTATATTAATTGTACAATATGCTAACCTAACCTTTTTCCACGTAAACTGTCTTGATTATATTTAAAAATTCAGAGAATATGGTCGAAATATAATGTTAAGAAACAAGAATATAGTCGACAAAATTTTTCCAAACTAGTAAATAGTAATTGTTGTATCATGTGCGTTGATCGAATAAAGCTCTGATAAGTGAATTCTCTCAGCATGTCAACCAATAGCTTAAAGGACAGTGTGCTAATAGATGTCTTGTTAATTTACTTGTATGTATGGAAAGTGGTCCGACCCGACCATCGGAAACAAACGACGAACAGAAATAATCGGTGAATTCTCTTTGACGAACCAAGAAAAAATTAAAATAATCCTAGCTAAGAACTGAAAAGAAAACTGTACATTCATTCAAATATTATGGTTAATTTGATTTTAGGTTTCGGTAATTATAAATTCAATTAATCTCAGTAGACTTCTGTAGTTACGCACCAAAGCAAAGTAAATGAAAACAAATAAATCTAGTGTCGGATTCTTAAAGCTGTTTAAACACATTGTCAATGGAAGATGGCATTTCAATGAAGCGAGTATTAGTATTATAGCTGATCACATTAATTCATTAAGATTGAGCATGAAAAAAAAACTTTTTATTACAAAAAGAAAAGACGAATAGATGTTTATAGTGCTATCCGAGTTCGAATGCATAAGTTGATGCGGAACTTACTGTAGTAATATATAATATAGTTCATATATCAATTGAAAGGAGATCCTCTCCTCTTCCTCTTGGATTGGTGATGATGGATAGGTTTCCATCATAATCATCGGCCGCATTTTATTATGTTTCAGTGGAATTATTCTGAGTATTTTCGAATCCTTCAGAGTTTTTTTTTGTTTTAACAACAAATTATTCTTATTTTAAAAATGGCTTTAGACGAGTATAGAACCCAAAGATAAGTATTTCGAGTTTATCCTAGCAATCTAGTTTAAATGCTGTCCTTATTTCATTTCTTCAGTCTAGTCAGAGTATAAATATTTCTTTTTGGGTGTTTTTAGACACGTGTTTTGCTGTTCGATGAACTTGATTTGTATCACTGTAGTTACCATATCTAACGGATTATATTTTATGTAGTTGACATCTACTATTTTTCAAAAAAGTATTAAGACAAAGCCACAAAGATTGAAAAGAAGAAGAAGTTAGGAATAAAGTGGGTCGACATGTACTTCACTAAGTTCTAACTTCGATATCCTAAAGCATAATTGAGAATTAAAGGACCCCCAAGGCACCAATCTTTGTGAAGAAAATGTGCACCAATCTTTGTGAAGAAAATGTAATATATTATTAAGTGTTTATATTATATTTCTATATAAAGATATCATATTTTTATACCTTTATAAAATATTCATATTTTAGCTTCCAGAACATATAAGCACAACACATTTTTTTTGGTGTAAAATAAATTTCTCTTTTGTTTGGCAACAACCTACTCTGTCACTTATTTAGAAAACATCTTAAGCGATCATGGCATGTACAGTTTAATGAGTTCCAGCATTCTTTGCAGCTTTGATTCCAACACCCTTCACAACGTTGGTTTTAGTATGTGCTAGTGTAGCTTTTGTTTCAACAGTCTCTTCTTTGTTGATTATATGTTTTAATCCAGCATTTTTGCGTACGAAAATCAAATACCCACTATGTAAAAAAAAATCAGAAACCATATATGATCAAATCCAAATAAAAATAGTGGAATTTTGAACGGATGGTCTAAACCACATAACGTTCGACCTAAAGAATGCGGTGAACAATAAATGCGATACACATAAAACTCCACATAACCCATTTCACCCCAAATTGAGTAACTCCCATTTTGATTTACATGAGCATCAAACTCAAAACCGGTCATAAAAAATATAACCAGGGTTTGTGACCGGAGTCAATTTTAGGTATAGCGAAATGAAACATGTCTATAGTTCTTAAATTATAGTGGTTAATATGTTATATAGTATTTAGTCTCTAAATGCTTGAATATGTTAATATTTAACTATTTTAATCTTCAGAAATGTTGGACCGGTTCTGTTTGTGGTCACCACTCACCAGACTTCTAATACCATGAAATCCCAAATCTGGAATTTTGATGTAATGATGTTTGCTACACTAAAAACTCTATAGACTTTTTTTCAATAAATTAATAAATTTCATTATGTTTGAGTTGGAACTGCTTCAAAATGTGATATAATTCAATAAGACAATCAAATATTTTTTTTAAAAAAATCTTATAAATATATGATTATATTAAAGTCATTAATTGATAGTTTATATATAAACTACAAACAAAACATTGTACTGTTTGTTTTATATCCGTAATGTAATTTATCTATATTTTAAAAAAACATTAATTATTTTAGTAGTATCTACAAATTAATATTTTATAATTAACATTACTTATTTTA